AAGGGAAAAATAAAGTTAACTTCAGGCTATGTGTATAAGGTGTATATGCAACATAAATGAATTTCATGTTTAGACTTGAGTCCCACCCCCAAGATATATCATTCTGTATATGCAAATATTCCAAAATCTAAAAGAATCTGAAACTGGAAACACTTCTGGTCCCAAGCATTTCAGTTAAGGGGTACTCAAATTATGTCAGCACATGTTTCATCAGAAACCATGCTAGCTAGGAGAAAGATAATAGGAAGTGGCACATTATTTTTTATGTGATGAAAGTAAAGAACTGTCAATCTAGAATGCTAGACCCAGTGAAAATATCTAACAAAACATGTATAGGACTTGCATAGTGAAAACTAGAAAATGCTGATTTAAAAAAAAATCAAGATCTGGGCCCGGCACAGTGGCTCCTGCCTGTAATCCCTGCACTTTGGGAGGCCAAGGCAGGTGCGTTGCTTGAGCTTAGGAGTTCAAGACCAGCCTGGGCAATATGGTGAAACCCTGTCTCTACAAAAAATTTAAAAATTAGCCAGGTGTGGTGGTCCATGCCTGTAGTCCCAGCTACTTGGAAGGCTGAGGTGGGAGCCCAGAAGGTTGAGGCTGCAGTGAGCCGTAATTGTGCCACTGCACTCAAGCCTGGGTGCCTGAAGGAGATCCTGTCTCAATAAATAAATAAATTAAATAAAAATAAAACAAGGTCTAAATAAATGGAGAAACATATCATGTTCATGGATTGGAAGACAGCATAGTAAAGATATCCCAATTTTGATATACAGCTTTAATATAATCCCTATGTAAAACTTAGTAAGTTTTCTTTGGGTGGGGGGGCAAATATATACAAGATAATTCTAAAATTTATATGGGAAGACAAAGGAACCAGTATAGCTAAGATGATTTTGAAAAACAAGAATAAAGTAAGAGGAAATAATTTACCTTATTTCAAGATGTATTATATAGCTATAGTAATCAAGACTATATGGTATAGACAGAGGAATAGGCATAGAGATCAACTGAAGAGAACAGAGAACTCAGAAACAGACCCACACAAGATGGGGCGTGGTGGCTCACGCCTGTAATTCCAACACTTTGGGAGGCTGAGGCGGGCGGATCACTTGAGGTCAGCTTAAGACCAGCCTGGCCAACATGGTGAAACCACATGTCTACTAAAATTATAAAATTAGCCAGGCATGGTGGCCAAATAGGAACAGATCCAGTCTACAGCTCCCAGCATGAGTGACGCAGAAGAGGGGCGATTTCTGCATTTCCAACTGAGGTACTGGGTTCATCTCACTGGGGCTTGTCAGATAGTGGGTGCAGGACAGTGAATGCAGCCCACCGAGCATGAGCTGAAGCAGGGCAAGGCATTGCCTCACTCGGGAAGTGCAAGGGGTCAGGGGATTCCCTTTCCTAGCCAAGGGAAGCTGTGAAAGATGGCACCTGGAAAATCGGGTCACTCCTGCCCTAATAATACTGCACTTTTCCAACGGTCTTAGCAAACGGCACACCAGGAGATTATATGCCGCACCTGGCTGGGAGGGTCCCATGCCCACGGAGCCTCACTCCTTACTAGCACAGCAGTCTGAGATTGAACTGCAAGGTGGCAGCCAGGCTGGGGGAGGGGCGCTCATGATTGCTGAGGCTTGAGTAGGTAAACAAAGCAGCCAGGAAGCTCGAACTGGGTGGAGCCCACTACAGCTCAAGGAGGCCTGCCTGCCTCTGTAGACTCCACCTCTGGGGGCAGGGAATAGCCAAACAAAAGGCAGCAGAAATCTGTGCAGACTTAAATGTCCCTGTCTGACAGCTTTGAAGAGGGTAGTGGTTCTCCCAGCTTGGAGTTTGAGATCTGAGAACGGACAGACTGCCTCCTCAAGTGGGTCCCTGAAACCCGAGTAGCCTAACTGGGAGGTACCCCCCAGTAGGGGCAGACTGAAACCCCACACGGATGGGTACCCCCCGAGACAAAGCTTCCAGAGGAACGATCAGGCAGCAACAGTTGCTGTTCAGCAGTATTCGCTGTTCTGCAGCGCCTGCTGCTGATACCCAGGCAAACAGGGTCTGGAGTGGACATCCAGCAAACTCTAACAGACCTGCAGCTGAGGGTCCTGACTGTTAGAAGGAAAATTAACAAACAGAAAGGACATCCTAACCAAAACCCCATCTGTACGTCACCATCATCAAAGACCAAAGGTAGATGAAACCACAAAGATAGGGAAAAAACAGAGCAGAAAAGCTGGAAATTCTAAAAATCAGAGCACCTCTCCCCCTCCAATGGAACACAGTTCCTCGCCAGCAACGGAACAAAGCTGCAAGGAAAATGACTTTGATGAGTTGAGAGAAGAAGACTTCAGACGATCAAAATTCTCTGAGCTAAAGGAGGAAGTTCGAACCCATCGCAAAAAAGCCAAAAACCTTGAAAAAAGAATAGACAAATGGCTAACTAGAACAAAGAGTGTAAAAAAGACCTTAAATGACCTGATGGAGCTGAAAACCATGGCATGAGAACTACGTGATGCATGCACAAGCTTCAGTAGCCAATTCAATCAACTGGAAGAAAGGATATTGGTGATTGAAGATCAAATGAATGAATTGAAGCAAGAAGAGAAGTTTAGAGAAAAAAGAGTAAAAAGAAACAAACAAAGCCTCCAAGAAATATGGGACTATGTGAAAAGAC